CACCCGGGCAACTCTCTCTAGCCAATTCTAGGTTCTGAAATATTTAGCTCCTCAGAGACTTAATTGTTGCTGGACTGTTTCTTCTCCATCCTCCCCTCCCTTAACTCTGGGTCCCAAATCCCATTCATCTTCAGCTCCCTCCTCGTCCCCCCGCCCAGAGTTTGATTAAACCCCACTGCAGCCCCCTTTCATTCTGGCTGAGCCACTCCGAGTCAGAGGAAGCAGAGGAGATGATGCAAAAGGCGGAGGAGTCTGGCGAGGCAGCCGAGCACCCAGTGTGGGGAGATGGTCCTGACAAGATTGATGGGCCCTGTATCACAGCTGAAAGGCTGGAGGTGGTAAAACGGGAGCGCTGGCAGTAATTTATGGGAGCTTGCTATGACAGACCTCTAGATTGAGGATGGAAAAGATGCCGTTAAAACAAACCAAGCTCTCTGGAATGTTGTTGTAAACAACAGGGCTCTCCGAACAGCCTCAGCACCAGACAGATTCCTAACCCTCAGGAAGTAGAGGGGATGTAGACCCCGCTGGAAGGACCCTACCCTATACGTCCAGGGAAAGATCCCGACAGTGCAGTGATGCAGAGAAGAGCCGGCCGTGAGAAGCAGCTGGATTTCTCCTCCTCCACTCCCCACTGGAGCCCTCCCAGAGAGGCTCCGGACCTTCCAGCAGCCATCACACACGGATAAGGATGCTCCTGGTATGATGCGCTTCCACGGGGTATGGCTCTGCTTTGGGCTGCTGCGTGGATAAAACTGACCCCAACCTGTGGATAATTTCAGGGCCTCGTTAGGGTTCTCCTTGTCTTTCTCTCTCATTCAGATGTAACCCACTTGGGCTCGCCTCCTCTTGTTTTGAAGCAGCTTTGGCACAAGGTCGGATCCCGATAGCTTGAATTGGAAGGAATTAATTGAAAAGCAAATTAAATTTATGATGAAATCTTTCTGAAAGCTCTAAAGGAGGGTCTCTTTCATAAACCACAAATACTTAAACTAATCTCTCCCTCTTAGCCATGTCTCACATAAGGTGTAGGCGACAGCTGCTTTACTCCAAAAATACTAAAATCCATCCCCAAATCCTAGACCAAACTGCTCCTATTATCATTCTTCTTCACCCATTCACGTCTTCTTCACCTACCAAAATTTTTCCCTGCTATGGTTCTTTGTTGTTTCCAAATTAAATCTGAGTAACCACTCCACTCTTCTGTTAACCATTCTTTCTCCAAATTATATATTTTATGTTCATTTTGAAGCAAAGAAACAGTCAATGAACTAAGGGAAAATCCTTCTTACAGAGCCCAAGGGGAGGCAGTCATCAACAGACTTCCCTTGGGCTCGGGAGGGGTCTAGGGAAGGGGTTCAGATTTGGGCGGTGATAAGGGCGAGAGGCACAGAGTAACCACAAATTAATACTTTGCTCCTGTTTTGGAGGAACACAGAGATGCCTTACTATGGGCGTCTGTGGTTGTTTAGTCGCTCAGTTGTGTCTGTTTTGTGATCCCATGGACTGTAGCATGGCCAGGCTCCTCTGTCGATGGGATTCTTCAGGCAAGAATACTTGAATGGGTTGCCATTTCCTTCTCCAGGGGATCGTCCCCACCCAGGGATGTAACCTGTATCTCCTGCATTGGCAGGCGTTTTCTTTACAACTGAGCCACCTGGGAAGTTCTTTATGGGGGTTACCTTGAATGTATCTACTCTGCCTCATTTGTAAGTTTAAGGTAAATAATTTGCCACATGCAGTGCTTCATAAATGCCAGGCGCTTGCTGCTCTGCCTTATAAGTCCTGCGTGGACCTCACAGGGCAGGAAATCGGCTGCCGCGCCCAGGGCCCGTGGGATACGCCCTGCCCCGGATTCTGCATCCACACTGAGCTTGCCTGCCCCCGGGCTTCCTTGCCTCTGCTCTGAGCCCTCCTTTGATATCTGCTTTCCTGGTCAGACAGCTCTGGGCTCTGGCAGGAGGATAGATGAGATGCAATGCAAAAGGTGGGAAGAGGTTTTTTTTTTAATAAGCAACACCTGAGATGAAAGAGGCACATCCTGCCTTATTTGGCTTCAAACTGCCCGGCTGCCCAGCATGAAATGGTGCCCGCGCGCCTCCCCTCCACGTAGGCTCTCTCTTCAGGGTCCTGGGGCCGCCTGCACATTGCTCTTCCTTTTCTAGCTTCCTCATCTCCTGTCCTTGGCCCCGCCTCCTGTCCCCGCCCTCCAATTGTCTAAAATGAGATGTGAAGCCTCTGGAGGATCCACAATGCCTTGTGTTTTTTACTCAGTGGCGTTTAACCCGGGACTTTCAGAAAACTAAGATCATGGCATCTGGTCCCATCACCTCATGGGAAATAGATGGGGAGACAGTGGAAACAGTGTCAGACTTTGTTTTGGGGGGCCCCAAAATCACTGCAGATGGTGACTGGAGCCATGAAATTAAAAGACACTCCTTGGAAGGAAAGTTATGACCAACCTAGATAGCATATTAGAAAGCAGAGACATTACTTTGCCAACAAAGGTCCATCTGGTCAAGGCTATGGTTTTTCCAGTGGTCATGTATGGATGTGAGAGTTGGACTGTGAAGAAAGCTGAGCGCCGAAAAATTGATGCTTTTGAACTGTGGTGTTGGAGAAGACTCTTGAGAGTCCCTTTGACTGCAAGGAGATCCAACCAGTCCATCCTAAAGGAGATCCATCCTGGGTGTTCACTGGAAGGACTGATGTTGAAGCTGAAACTCCAATACTTTGGCCACCTTATGCGAAGAGTTGACTCATTGGAAAAGACCCTGGTGCTGGGAGGGGATTGGGGGCAGGAGGAGAAGGGGACGACAGAGGATGAGATGGCTGGATGGCATCACTGACTCAATGGGCATGAGTCTGAGTAAACTCTGGGAGTTGGTGATGGACAGGGAGGCCTGGCGTGCTGTGATTCATGGGATCCCAAAGAGTAGGACACGACTGAGCGACTGAACTGAGCATGGATGGAGGGAGCCCAGGTCCAGGGAAATTCCTTAAGAGAAATATGGCTAAAATGATGGCTCCTCAGCCCTTGGATGACAGCCACTGACGGTTCAGTGTGTGCAGTGCTTGCAGTTTATTCTGGGCAGTTTGTAAGGTGCTTCTCTAGGGTGCTGTGTCCCTGTGCTTTCTGGTGGAAGAAGCATGCATTTCAGTTCAGGAGCTCAGGTGTCCCAGAATTGCGTGGATTTGATTTAAACAGCAGTCTTCTGACTCAGGTCATGGGCTCCAGTTTTTGACTTAACATTTGTGTCCTTTCCCCAAAATTAGCATGTTGAAACCCTAACACTCAAGGTGATGGTATTAGGAGTTGAGGTCTTTGGGTGGTAATGAGGTTCACACGAGGCCATGAGGGTGTAGCCCACAGCTGGAACTGGTGTTCCAAGAAGATGAAGAGAAGCCAGAGCTTGCATAATCTGCACGTGAGGACTCAGCAAGAAGACCACCATGGTCTGCACTCCAGGAAAAGAACTGTCACCAGGAGCTTAATCAGCCCAAACCTTGATCTTGGGCTTCCCCACTTCCAGAACTGTGAGAAGTAAATGTCTGTTGTTTAATCCATCTGCCCAGTTTAGGGTGTTTTGTTTTAGCAGCCAACAGACTAAGACAGGTCCCATAGCTCCCAGCTTGGTGGCTTGTGGTGTGGCTTTGGACAAGTTATTTAAGTTCTCTGTGAGAATTTATTTAAGTTCTCTCTCTCCCTCAGCTATAAAATGGGGTTCATAATACCCTTCCTCACAGGGTTGTTGCAAGGAATGAATTATTTTATTTAAAATGTTGAGAACCATGCCTAGAATATAAAAGTGTGATGTTGTTGTTAGTTATTATCACTCCTGGAGAATGACTAATGAAAGACATATCTTAAAAAATTTTTTTAAATTAATTTTTATTGAGGTATAGTTGCTTTACAATGCTGTACTTAGTTTCTATAGTACAGCAGAGTGAATCAGTTATACTCTATACAGGTATCCACTCTTTTTTAGGTTTCCTTTCCATTTAGGTCCCCACGGAGCATTAAGTTTACTGTGCTATGCAGTAGGTTTTCATAGTTATCTGTTTCATATGTAGCAGTGTGTATATGTCAATTCCAGCCTCCCAGTTCATCCTACCAGCCCTGCCCCCTCTTAGTAACCATAAATTTGTCTTCTACATCTGTGTCTGTATTTCTGCTTTGCGAGTAGGTTCATCTGTACCATTTTTCTAGATTTCACATATAAGCAATATTATATGATATTTGTCTTTCTCTTCTGATTTTACTGTGTGGCAATCTCTAGGTTCTTCCATGGTGTCGCAAATGACTTATTTTGTTACTTTTTATGGCTGACTAATATTCCACTGTATATGTACTACATTTTTCTATGTTATTGGACATTTAGGTTGCTTCCATGTCCTGGCTATTGTAAATAGTCCCGCAGTGAACCCTGGGGTATATGCATCCTTTCAAATCATGGCTTTCTCTGGCTGTGTACCTAGGAGTGAGATTGCTGGGTAATATGAGAACTCTATTTTAGTTCTTAAGGAGCCTCCATACTGTTCTCCATCATGGCTGTACCAATTTACATTCCCGCCAGTAGTATAGGAGGGTTCCCTATTTCCACACCCTCTCTAGCATTTATTGTTTGCAGATTTTTTGATGATGGCCATTCAGACTGGTGTAGGCAACACTTTATTGTAGTTTTGATTTGGATTTTTCTGTTACTTTGTGATGTTGAGCACATTTTCATGTGTTGTTTGACCATCCATATATCTTTTTGGGAAAAAATGTCAATTTAAGTCTTGTGCCCATTTCTTTTTTTTTTTTAATATTGATCTGCATAAGCTGTTTGTATATTTTAGAGATTAATCTCTTGTCAGTGGCTTCATATGCAAATGTTTTCTCCCATTCTGGGGATTTTCTTTTTGTTTTGTTTATGATTTTCTTTGCTGTGAAAAGGCTTTTATGTTTAATTAAATCCTGTTTGTTTTGCTTTTTCTTTTCATTCCTCTAGGTGGTGGGCTGAAGCACCCAGGCACTTGGACAGAGGGACAGGACAGAGGGATGTCTGGACATGTTGTCACCCCAGGACCCTTGGACCCTCCAGTTCTGGTGAGTCTACTGTGTTCTCTACACACCAGCCGACTTCGAAATTCTTGGCAAAACTTTCTGTGTCTGTGCACCTAGATTCTTCCTGCAGTTATTTTTCCCTTGGGCCTCACATGATACCTGGCAGGGTGGCCAAAAAAGAGGATGATCATCTCAAATCCCTCTGGTCTAGGAAATAAGGCTTTTGGAAACATCAGCAGTGAGAAAACTTATGTTTTTGTCTGCTTTCCCTGCCACATTCCTCCTTGAGATTACAAGAGGAGGGGCTATGGACTAAAGATGAGAAGAAAAGGCGGGGAGGGTAACAAGAAACAAAGCAAATGAATACGTTGAAGTATTGAACAAAGCCGCACATGTGTGTATCGGGATGATTTCTGAGAGCTCTGGCAGTGGACCACATGAATCAGGATGTCTGCAGGCAGGGCAAGGAGTCTACCACTTAAACAAAGCTTTCTCATGGTAGGTGTCAACACCAAAATTTTGTGATCGAAAGTCTGATAGCTTACATGTATAATCATACATTGCTGTCTTCTCCTGAGAGAAAGAGGAAGAAGAAGACTGAGAGAAAGAGAAGGGAGGTCCCACCCAAAACTTGGACCCCCGTAATTTGAATGCTGGTGAAACCTTGAAGTACTCTAGGCAGCAGAGGCTGAGAGAAGAAGTGTTTTGGGGGTCAGTGAAGGCCAGGTTGAGAGAGTCAGTGGAGGTGACCGGAGCAATACAGAGTGGGATAGGCGTTAAGGCAATAACATCCCCATTTCAGGGAACTCGCAGAGATTCCTGTGAGAGGGGACAAGCTGGGGTCTGCCATTGCGCAAATTAAAACATTTGATTTAAAGAAAACCTCTTTTATTTATTTATTTTATTTTATTTTATTTTTTTGGTGCTGTGACTCAGATATGAAGAAAACCTCTTTTAAAACAACTTTTTATTCAAGGATAGTTGACTTACAATGTTGTGGTAGTTTCTGATGTACAACGAAGTGATTCAGTTTCTCTTTCAGATTCTTTTCCATTATGGTTTATTTCAGGATACCAAATATAGTTCCCTGTGCCATACAGTAGGACCTTGTTGTTTATCCATCCTAAATGTACTGTTTGCATCTGCTGATCCCAAATTCCCAGGCTTCCCAGGTGGCTCCGTGGTAAAGAATCCACCCGCCAAGCAGGAGACCCTCGATCCCTGGGTCGGGAAGATCCCCTGAAGGAGGCAGTGGCAACCCACTCCAGTGTTCCTGCCTGAGAAATCCTGTGGACAGAGGATCCGGGCGGGCTACAGTCCACGGGGTCACCAAGAGTTGGACATGACTCAGTGACTAGACAACAACAACAATAAATCCCAAATCCCACGTCGTCCCTCCCCCACTCCCTCTCCCTTAGCAACAAATCTGCTCTGTTTGTGAGTCTGTTTCTGTTTCATAGATATGTTCATTTGTGTTTTATTTTAAATTCCACATACAAGTTATGTCATGATATTTGTCTTTCTCTGTCTGACTTACTTCACTTAGTATGATAATCTCTAAGTCCATCCATGTAGCTGCAAATAGCATTATTTGATTCCTTTTTATTCAAAGTTCTAATATTCAAAGTTCTCTTTATAAGTAACACATGAGTGCTACTGACTTGTGCCTCTTAGGGAAGGAAATTTTAAGTTTTTCTTGAAATCAAAGATGTGGTATGTAAGATAAACTTAAAATTTCCTTCTCTATAAGGTATAAGTTAGTAGCACTCATTTGACAATTGAATTTATATTCTCTAAAACATGATAGCCAATTAGAATACCAGTTAAAATGATTTAAGTTCAAAGTCTTTCCAGATAAGTGGGATTTCACTGATTCTTACTTTTCTAGTCCTTCCCCTTCTTCCTTTCATCACTGACCTTGGTACAATAAATACTTCTTCTAACCAGTACTGTTTGAGTATATTCAGTCTCTTGGACAAAAGTCATGAAGCTGAAAAACTATATCTGACAGCCCTGGCCTGAGTTCTGCAACCATGCTGACTTCTGTCCCTTTGCTGAAGGAGCAACTATCAAAACAACATGGAATGTGGGCAGTGGAAGCAGCTGAATTCACTTGAAAGGAGTTTAAACTCTGTTGTAATATTGGGATTTGTATGTTTTGGGGATTGGAAGATACATCACCACTATCCTCTTAGATTTTTTTTCTTATTCCATCACTGAACTTTGGTTCAGAGTGAGTCTCAAGAATTCTACTTCTTCCACTTACTCCAGGGCTGTTAGGATATAAGACTGTTTGATGGTAGAGAGTTAAGCTACAGCTCTATTCTTGAAGGATGAGAGGGTTTGAAGTTGGGCCTTAGATGGAAATTATACCATGTAAATATGTAGGCTTAAGGAAACTTCTGGGAGAAGGCAATGGCACCCCACTCCAGTACTCTTGCCTGGAGAATCCCATGGACAGAGGAGCCTGGTAGGCTGCAGTCCATGAGGTCGCCAAGAGTTGGACACGACTGAGCGACTTTACTTTCACTTTTCACTTTCATGCTTTGGAGAAGGAAATGGCAACCCACTCCAGTGTTCTTGCCTGGAGAATCCCAGGGACGGGGGAGCCTGGTGGGCTGCCGTCTATGGGGTCGCACAGAGTCGGACACGACTGAAGTGACTTAGCAGCAGCAGCAAGGTAACCTCTGCTCTCTGTACTCTCTCTAGATTCCTTATGAGTTTCCAGTTCACCACACAATTAACACACACTTTCAGAAAAGACTTTGATGTGTTATTTGCATCTGAGTGTAAATTTAAGCTATTGGGGCAACTTTCCCATGAATTTTCAGCCTGCTCCCTAAATGAAGAAAGAGTAGTTAAGATTCCCGTTAAGGGAATTTCAGACACACTTGAGTGGAAAGTTTATAATAAAAGGGTCTGAATAAGATACACACTCATTTATTCACTCATTCATTAGGAACTTAAAAAATAACACCTAGATGCTAACATGGAGCCAGTCATATGATTGCACCACTGGTCTGAAAAGATCTGCAGTGAAAGTCTCAAACCTCCCTTATCAGTCTGATACATATCTTAAGAATTATCCTTTTTTAATTTTTGTATTTTTATATTTCACTACAGTTCCTTTTTTAATCAGGATATGATTAGGGTTGATTTTGTGCTGTCTGTATTTGCCTTATATAATCAAAGTAATTTTGATGTTTACCTTGTTTTTAGTGAACTGATGATGCAGATTTTAGTGAAAATAGGTCTGATCCTCAGTGGTACTTCCAGCTCCTGGATTCTGTAAGAGGGAGGCCTGATGGTTTCAGCTGGGATTTTCAATTACCTATTGAATCTGAACAGTGGTTGGTACTTTATTTCTTCTGGCAGAACAGGGACCCCCAGGATAGATGAAATTACTGAATGAGCACCCTTAGGACACATTAGAATATATTTGCATTTTATATTAATGCCTCCTACTGCTTGTTCTGGGATATGAGTTGCTACTTTAATACGTACACAAGGAGCTTGGAAGGGATCAGAAGTATGCTGAAATGGAATGAGGAACTTGAACTAGAAAATCATGAAGACAGAGACACAGAAGACCGCATGAGGACGGAGGCAGAAGCTACAAGCTGAGGCAAGTCAGGAACTGCCAGAAGCTAGAAGAGGTGAGGTAGGGCGCTGCCCTGCTGACACCTTGAGTTTGCACTTCCAGCCTCTGGAAATATGAAAATAAATGTCTGTTGTTGTAAGCTTCCTATTTAGTGGTGCTTTGTGACAGCAGCTCTCGGAAGCTAATACACTCAGTATTACCAGAAGCCCTTCAACCAAAGGTCTTCAGTGGAAAACTACACTTTTACACTGCATGAAGTATCGCCCAGGGGAGCTTTTTGGGCAGGTGACTTGTAGTCACCAAGATGCACAGGAGAGCATACAGATTTAGAAGGACACATCAGAACGCACCAACTCAGACCTTCTGTGCTCACCTGTCTCCAGGAACTTGCTCTGGGACCACTGACATTGCAGTGCCCGGCCAACTTCACGTGACGACAGTGCAAAGGGTCTCCCCTTTCAGTCCTTGCCGAGAGGCTCCGTTGTTGCTGAGCCTTGAAATGTCGAGGGACTGAGAGTTCACCATACACCACCTGGAGTATAGGTGAGTTAAAACACCATGGGGCCGACCTTTACCCAAAGAGATGAAGACTCTTTGTAACCCCATGAACCGTAGCCTGCCAGGCCCCTCTGCCCGTGAAATTCTCAGGACAGAATACTGGAGTGGGAGGCCGTTCCCTTCTCCGGGGATCTTTCCAACCCAGGGATCGAACCCAGGTCACCCTCATTGCAGGCTAATTCTTTACCAACTGAGCCCCCAGGGAAGCCCAAGAGAGATGAAGAAGAGCAGATATATCCAGCCTTTTCCCCCACAAGGCAGACTCTCCTGAGATACTGAGTTCCAACCTCTCAGCCAAAGATCCCACTGGGATTCAATGATCGGATGATCTTGATACCAAGCAGAGGTCAGCTTGGTATTACACCTTCACTTTGTTTTTCTTCCTGACCTTAATCTCCTAAATCCTCACTCCTCCTCCCCCGGATTGAGTCTCCTGATGAAGCGCTAGAAAGACCTTTGCCTCAGATCCTGCTTTCTGAAGAACCCAAGTGGACCAATTGGTCTAAATCTCTGCAAATGTATTAATCAAAATGCTTTCAGTTGCAAGTGGGAAAAAACACAACTGAAAATATCTTAGGACATTTATAACCTTACATACTAAGAAGAGTGGGCTTCAGTTATGTGTCATCCAGGCATGAAAATACTGTGGGTTCTGCTTACTTTTACCTCTTGGCTTTCTTTTTACAAATAGTCTCAGAGACACATCCCTCCAACTTAAAATTCTCAGCAGATAAAAGTGATTTCTTTTTTGAAAATCTATATATTCATCCAGAGAGGCATGTATATTCATCCTGGGGCAGGTACTATCCCTGGGAACAGTGACTTTTGGTAGGAAGTCAACCCTGTAATTATCATTCTCTCCAGGAATTTGTGAAATGAGGCA